GCGTTGCTGTTTCCCTTTCTGCTTTTTGGTCAGTCCTGCATCATTTCTCCACCTTGCCAGTTGGAGAACCCTGTACATAACGATGGCTATTTCTGAAGGACAAACAGACACCTTAACATGGCACAGAAAACATCCATTCATAAATTAGCAAGTGAAAACAGACGCTAACCACCACTCACATAGGCTCAGGTGTGTCCCTCTTGTTTATTTGCTCTGTCCAAACCATCACCTACCTCCACAGGCATACCTGTTCAGCCACACTTTGATTTTCTTAAGACTGTAAAATGATTTCCTTTATTCACACTGCCAGGGTTTCTAGAAGCCGGTGGTTCTCAAACTTGAGCTTGTATCAGAATCACCTGGAGGGCTTTCTAAGACACTTACTGGGCCCAATCCTCAGAGTTTCTGAATCAGGAGGCAGGAATGGGGTGGGGCCTGAGAACTGGGATTTCTAACTAGTTTCCAGGTAACGCTGGTGCAACTAGTCCAGGTCATATGCTGAGAACCACTGCTATAGGTCGTTTTATTGGATTTTCCCTGTTTGGTTATCTGTTGCTAATGTGAAATCACTGTCAACTTGTGGTCCATTAGCAGACTCTGACTGAGCTCAGAACATTGTACGGAGGCCAGAAAAGTGACTTGGGACTGTAGCTCCTAATCCCACACACGTCCTACCCCCTGGACAGTTAGGCTGCGTCGTTAGCAATCGCAGGGGAGTTCTCCCACGGAGGCAACTTGAGCCTCAACTTGGCAAAATATAAAGCAGCCTTGGCCATATCCTTTCCTGCAAGTTTCTCTTTAATTGCAAAAATCTGGGTGGCCTTCACACAAGTTGTTTGTACAGCAAAGGAGAAGAGATAAGTCTGGTAACCTTGGAAGACCCAATCTCTGTTCCCAGACTACTGAGAAGTAATGCCCAGAGGAACAAACACTGTGTGTGGGAAACCAAAGAGGGACTTTGGAGGGTGGACTGGAGTGGACAAAGAGAGGGTGGCTTTTTTTTTAAGAGTAAATGTCTCCTGATCTGCCTAAAAACCACGTCTTGCTGTGTGAGAGCTCATTAACTGGAATTCTGTCAATGATAGCAGTCTAAATCTCCATAGCTAGACTGCAGGCCATGATTCTTCTTACCAGGCAATAATCACACAGAAAAACAATCTTGGCTCCAACCGCTGGGTTATAGCATCTGGTCAAAAAAAAAAAATGGCTCTTAAAGTGAACCTCTTGAGGATTTGCATCTTATAGGGACAAGGGATCCTCTTCTCTGTCAACAACAACCACATGGGCTTCAGGGCACTGACTCAAGCAGTGTAAGCTCAGTCACCAGCTGGGGTGCATAGGATCTAGTTGTTACTTGCCCACTTTCTCTTGTGCAAATCTACAGGCCAATCATTGGCTTTGTTTTCCAACCTCACCTTTTCCAAGTAACTTCTGTTGTGGGTTGCTCTGAGTCTATCCCAGATCTGTCACGCTGTGACAGCCTCTTCTGCAATGAAACAGTTTCAGTTTCATAATAACAATAATAGCTATAACAGGTGCTACTTAGTGAGGATAAGCTCTCATTCAGGAGCCAAGCATTCTTCATCCATGATCTAATATAATCCCCGCAATAATCCTAGGAAATGGGGTTTATCATCCCCAATCTACAGGTGAGGAAACCGAGGTTCAGGAGTTAAATAGCTTTCCCAAGATCATGCAGCCAACAAGACATAAAGCCTTGATGGAAATCCAAACTTGTGCCAATGCCCATGCTCTTCTATTTCGTTCTTCATAAATGTTTATTAATTTAAATCAATCAGTATATCTTACATACGCATGCAAGAGAATGTCAGAGACTGGTTCTAACTTCTTAAATGATTTAGAAACAGGAAACTCACTTAACCAAGCATTCCATTTCTCTGCCAAGTCAGTTAACTGAATTGTTATAGTATAATCCATTCTCAATCACTACTCAATTACTTGCATTATAGGAGGTAGCATTAGTGGAAATGAAAACTGTAGATAATCAATCCAGCTGTGTTTGTGATGAGATTCTGCTGCCTAGTACATGAAAATCTTGTGTTAAAGACCAGGGCAGGCTACCTGAGGGCTGTAGCAGGTAGAAGCCAAACCTCTTTTTTCCTGGGAGTATCTATGGCTCACAATTTTTCTGTGGCCTATTCCCACAGACATACCAGGTTGGATGACAAGCTTCACTTGTTCCCAAAGCAAAGCCCGTGCTCTTAACATCATCTTACTGGCTTTACACTGGGAGTGTGTGTGTATGATGCGCAGTAGATGAATGTGTGTGTTATTAGATGAGATGATCAGTATATGAGAAATAGCACCAGCAAGCAATGATTTCTTCCTGCTATAGCCAAAAAGGGCATAGGGATTACCAGGTTGGGTTAGACTCCGGTTCACACATGGCAGCATTATGAGAGACAAGCTGCCTCCAAGGTCAAGTTTACGAGGTCAGGATAAGTCTCTAGAATATGCTAACCCACTGAAGAGTTTCATTCTGTACAGTTTTCTAAAATCTCAAATGTATGATTTTAACCTGTAATAGCTTTGGAGGTAATAATTTCATGAGTTTACTTTTATCCTACCTTTGTTAAAATTCATTTTGGCTAAGTTTTTCAACTTTATTCAGATGCTCTGGAAGAAATATGTTTTTAAAAATTACCCCTTGTTTAAGATTCAGAGTATTTAGGTTGGAAACCCTGCTCTGTCGCTTATTAGCTGAGGTCTTTTAGCCAAGATGGTACACTGAGCTGACATGATTTAGGGAAATCTCCTAACCCGGTCTTAATGCATAAAAATGCTTTAAAAATTAAAGAATTTAAAATACCTGGTTGAATTCAAAAGCAAGAAAGGGGAAATTTCAAGGACCAGAGACAAAGAGGGAGCCCTTGTGGGGAAAGAACTGAGGCTACATGGTCTGTGGTGACACATGGAGCAGATGTGTGACTTAGAGGAAAAGGTTTTATAACTGACGTGGGAATGGCAGTTGTCTGGCCTCATGAGTCAGAGGGAGCCAGGACTGGCTTCTCAGGGTAAAGCTGAAAACCAAAAAGTTTCTCATGAATGGGGATAAGGATGTCTCCACCCCATCCCAAGAATGGCACAGACTCGGGCTTCTTGCCCTGGACCATGGGTGGAAACAAAGTTAACAGCGAGAGTCAAACCCTGATTCTGGGCCACATGATGGGGCTAGGGGGCGTGAACAATTGTGTTACATGTAGTGTGGAAATATTGTAGTGCGGGAACCCAGACACCAACCTAAAAACCCGCACTGGACTGGCGAACCCTGTGGTTTCCCAGCAGAGACAACCATAGGGACAGTTTAAAATAATCTCCTGATTAGCTCACTGGACAATAAGAGAGCACCCCCTTGCAGTCCTGCTCTTCCAGCCTCATAAACACACAGATGCTTTGGGAGGGAAGCCTG